GCCTGGGCAAGGGGCCGATCAGGTGATCGGAGGGTGATGGGGGTCTACGCCTCTGGCCGAGGCATCAGGCCTGGGCAAGGGTCAGAGCCAGCAATCGGAGGGGTCTGGAGGTCCCCTGCCCAGGCCTGACGCCTGGGCCAGAGGCATCAGGCCTGGGCAAGAGGCCGATCCTGCGATTGGAGGGGGATGAGGGTCAACGCCTGAGGGCTCCCGGTATATGAGAGGGGGCAGGCTGGACTGAGGGACACTCCCCCCACCACCACCACACCCAGTGCACAAATTTCGTGCACCGGGCCCCTAGTCCTATATAATAAAGAGCTAACATGCTAATTAGACCAAATAGGAGAATGACCGTCTGGACAAAGCCAGGGCTGTGAGGGTTGAGGCAGTTGCACAAATTTTGTGCATCGGGCCTTTAGTTATAACTATCCAAATGGCCCTTGGCAGGAAAAAGGTTCCCCACCCCTGCTCTATAACTTGTTTCCTAAGCCTATTTCTTCTAGGAATTACTTTTTCTACCTCTGTGATTTACCAAATAAATATTCTCTTTAAAAAAAAGTGAATGCTTACTGTGTATTACGTGTGGGTGGAGTAGTTTAAGAAAAGAGGAGGATCATATTATCTTGTTGAGAAGAGGAGGGAGAAAACTCATCAGTAGAAAGGACTTTATGGGAATGGACATGTTCAGGTGGATTGTAGTTGAGGAAGTTCCTGCCAATGGCCTTGATATTTTCAGTAAAAATGTGAGAAGGAAGTATAAGGATGGCGTGGTATCTTGAGGAATACAGGACAATGCAGCTTCACTGAAATACAACACTCATTGAGTCACCAACAGATTACAGATGAGCCAGAGAACCTGATGTTGCTTTATATTTAGTTGATAAGGAAGGGTATGGAGGCAAGGTTGCTTTTGGTAATTTTTAATCCTCATATACTTACTGATTTGAGAGAGAGGATGGGAGGGACAGAGGGAGGAAGGGTGGGAGGGAGGAAACAAACATCCATCAGTTGCCTCTTGTACGGTATGTGCCCAACAGGGGATCAAACCCACAGCCTTTTGCTGTATGGGATGACGCTTCCACCAATTGGGTCACCCTGCCAGAGTTGCTTTCGCTATTTTCACACCACCGTATTCTTCCATGGCTATTTTTGAAATTAGCTTTTGGGTAAAATATTACTAGGCATTTTCCTCTGTTTATAATAAACAAAATTGAAGATTTTAAAGGTGATTGATTTAAGTCATGTAGGAAAAAGATATTTCAAATTTTTTTTACTAGAATATTCTGTTTACAGGTAACCAGATCCAGTAGTTACACCAGAAAATCCCAGTTCCAGGTAGAAGAGGAGGACATTGAAAAGCTAGAAATTAGGTATGTGACTTGGAGTTTTACAGAATTTCTTTTTTCTGTGCCAAAAAATTCCTAAATTTAACTGGAAAAGGTGAACCAATCTTAATAGAATTCTCTTTAGCAAGTTGGTTGATGAAACTTAGAGGAACATGCATCTAACTTAAATCCAAATTGTCTTTCCAAAATATTCTTGACAGAACAGTCTTTATAACAGAAATAGTCTTTATAAACAAAGATGAACTAATTTTCACCTATTTTATTTTTAAAAATTTCTCAAATTTAATTGCTCTTTAAATTTCTGAATCATAGCATAATGGATGCAAAAAAATATATAGAAAAGTAATTACATATTAGCCTATTTAGAAATAATGTTTTTATTCTCCTTAACATATCTGCTGTCTAACAGAAATTTCAGTGAGGTAAGAAGTCTTGTAAGATAATTCAACAGGTGCATGTGTTTGAAGTTTGTGCCATTTCCTAGATCTTAAATATCTGTGCTGTTTGGAAGGGGAAAGTTTTTGTAAATGCATGTATAGGTGTGGTGTTAACAGTGTGTTCATCTAAAGGATGTGTTAATCACATGTTTGGAATGATCAGGTAGTATGTTTTTCTAAATTGCCTATCTTTACACATTAACTGATTCTAATTGAGAAACTGTAGTTTCTTTTCTCCAATTCAACCAAGTAACTCTGTAGTCCTTATTGTTACAGGTTATAATATTAAAATAAAACCTAAACGTTGAAACTAAGAAACTTAAGTTCTTTCTTTTAGACTATTTAAAATGGTTACTTTCTGTGCTTATAAATAAAAGCTACTGCAATATTTTGCTTTCTTAGTTTAGATAGTGAGGTATATGACAATGCTAACATCTCTTTTAAGCATGTAAAATTAATGCTATAATCCAAATCAAAGTAATTTGAAGCTATTTGGTGGTGTGTGTTCTCTTAAGCATTGTTTGCAAACAAATAAAGCCAGTTTTAAATTTTCAGGATTGACTTGTGGAACAATGGAAACCTGGTCCAAGATATTTTCCTAGGGGAGATTAAGGTTCCTGTGAACGTGTTAAGAAATGATACCTCTCATCAAGCCTGGTAAGAAAACAAACATTCTAGTGAACTCTCTGAATTATACTGTACATGCAAATAAATGCTTACAATAATCATAATGAAATAAGCCGAAATCATTAACATTAATTAATCTGGTCAGTAATTTATTGTTGCAGAAATGTAAGTACATTGACATCTGGTACTGAGACAAAAGTACTGAATTGTCTAGGGATATTTTTCTGTTTAAAAACTAAATCCTATTTCTAAGGGGAAATGGAAAACATTTTAAACATCACATAAGAGTTGCCCACATAAGATGATGCTTGGTCACAAATTAACATCTGCAGTTGAGAAGCTTCATTAATGGTCATGAAAACTATGGATGTTTGAAGGCAAAGGGTTTGTTGTAGGGAATCAGCTGTTTATGGGATCTAACCAGTGGTTCTTCACCCACCCCATTGAAACGCAGTATAGATGGCCCTGATATTATTTTCTAAATGTCTAGGGTCTGGGATTGTTGAGCTGATTCAGTGAATACACTTTCAGGACTCTGGTGGTCACAACATTATTTTACCTTTTATGACTCTTAATAGTGACATTAAAGTGATGTTAAACTAAATGCTTCGGCATTAAATTGATGTTAGCTTCCTTAGCAGAATTGGTGTGCAGCTATTGTTTGTTCTGTCTATGGTACTTGGAAGCTCTGTATCCAGTCCTTCCCAATTGGTTGCCCCGCAGCCCTCATGCTAGACTTGGGTTTCAGCCGAGTGTGAAAGACCATGCTTTTCTCATTTACTAAACTTTTAAGGCCCACTTTTTAGAACTCGGTTTCAGTTGCCTGAAAGAGGAGTTGAAACTGAGTGTTTAGATGTTTCTTACCATGGGCACCAGTCTCGTTTGTCTTTAGAAGAGCCTGCCTCTCCTGATTGGCCATCAGACATTCTTCCTTTTGGACTCTGTTGTCCTCAAGCAGTTATCCTTTGAAGACTGATTTTTAGACTCTCAAAATTTTTATTTTTTAGCTCTTGCTAATGCAAATCTAAGATTTATTGGCCTTTATGGTGGCATTTTGTATGTTATAATTTCTAAAATGCATTCACAGAAGAGGGAAAAATTAAACTTAGTCACTGTGAAAAATTAATACATTTGTCACCTTCCCACCTGCCCCCATCCCCTCATGTCTTCTTTCACCTTCCATAAAGTTCTGTACATTTTAAAATGAAAATTTTGAACTCAGTTTTTTTAGTCTTTAAAATAATATGCCAAACTACTCATTACAAAATAAAAAGTAAGTTGTGCCTCCCAGAGCCCTTCAAAGTGAAATGTGCCACTTAGCCTGTATATTAAGTAAGACTATCTCTAGGCAGGCCCTCCCAATGTGGCAAAACTTTGTCCAACTACCTTGGCAGGATGGAAGAAAACTCACAAACAAATTAAATTTATTCCTATAGTGTGTTTTTTTTTGCCAATAGTATTTTAAAATAACTTGCCAAAGTATAAGTGCTAAATTTTATCTAGATGAAATAGGGACATCTGCTAATTTATTTATACTCCCATAGATGTAATGTAAAAATTAAATTCCTCTTAAGTAGAAATTATTAAACTCTTAGCCTCCTTTGTCAGTTGTAGAGCTATAGCATCCCCTTGTGGGATTGATGGCAACTGCAGGAACACTCAAGAAAAGCTTTATTTACCTTATAAGTCTTCAGGCATATTCTTTCTAATCTTGATATTAAGAAAGATATAGAATAATGATCAGTAATGTTTTAAAAGCATCAATTTGATTTTTCATAGAATTTCTGCTTAGTATTTATCTATTATAATCCTTGTCTGAAAACTGATTTTTGATGGTTCCAATTTGATTTTATCCTCAAATTAAACATGATTCAGTCATTTCCCATTCCTTTCTTGGCTCTTCAGTTCCATAGTAATTATGTGTGTTCTTTGTTCTGAAACTTCTATGAAATGTTAAGATTAGCTTGTTAGTGTTGATATTAGTTAACTTTAACTTGAACCTATGTAGGTTCTAGAATTGTATTTGACTTTTTGAATAAGTAATATACTTACATGGTTCACAGTTCAAAAAGTAGAATATGTCACCTACTTTTGTCCTCCAGCTAAACAGTTTTCTTCTTCTGAGGCAGCCACTGTTTTTGAGTTTTGAAAATATTTTATATATATACAGGCAAATACACATATATTCTTCTTTCCCTTTCTTTACACAAAGGGACATATTTTATACCTTGCTTTTTTCACTTATCAATTTAGTAGAATCTCAGTAAGTATTTGGTGTCTCACTGACCATAGTTAAGACTCTGGCCCTAGCTGGTTTGGCTCAGTGGATAGAGCGCCGGCCTGTGGACTGAAGGGTCAGGTTCGATTCTGGTCAAAGGCACATGCCCAGGTTGCGGGCTCAATCCCCAGTAGGGGGTGTGCAGGGGACAGCCAATCAGTGATTCTCTCTCATCATTGATGTTTCTATCTCTCTCTTCCCCTTCCTTCCTCTCTGAAATCAATCAATCTATATATATATATGTATATACTCACACACACACACACACATACACACACACACACACACAGACATACATGCAGTGGGGCCTTGACTTACGAGTTTATTCTTTCAGAGACCGAGCTCCTTAAGGAGCTTGTTAACTCAAATTACTCTGTCAACTCAATGCAAAAAATCGGCGAGAGACAGCTGGTATCTCAAAAAACTCGTTAGTCAGGACACTCGTAAGTCAAGGCCCCACTGTGTGTGTGTGTGTGTGTGTGTATTTTAAAGCCTGTTCCTCTAAAAGAAAAAAAAAAGAATATAGACTCTGGAACCAAATGCTTTGGTCCAAATCCATCTCTGCCATTAACTACCAGTGTGACCTTGGACAAGTTACTTCACCTCTTTGCCTTGCTTTCTTTGGCTATAAAATAGGAGTAACACAATTAATACCTGCACCCCAAAGTTGTTAAAGGGTGAAATGAGTTCAAATAAATTGAGCTGCAAGTGCTATGACCATGGGCATAGCTCATGTTCTTACCATTGTAGTTATTGCTGCTATTATTACCATTATTCTGCATCAGTACATATAGAATTTCTGTATCATTTTTTTTCTTTTTTTGGTACCAGTATTCCTTTTTTTGGAATATTATAAATAAAAAGGACGTAGTTTAATCACATTTCACCAGTTACCTCAATGTGAGAGAACTTAATGTGTGTAAAACTTGTATAATTATACAAGTTGGTACAACAATTTGCACCCAAATGATTTAAAAGTGTACATTAAGAAAAGATAGATATAAATATATTTTCATGTTGTAATTTTTAATTTTGAAAGTAAGATTCAAATAGTGAAACAAATGGTTGGGGTTTTTTTCAACATACAATAAAATATGTACTTATACATACTTGAAAGTAGATTAATATTTAATTTGAGATGAGTTGGTTTCCTACTTTGCCAGTTTGAGCACCTAATCTTTAATCTCCTATTTTAGTAAAAATCCATTGATAAGGGTTATCTTTATGGAATCAGAAATATTCAAATATTATTGAGCTGCCTTTGAGCAGTTATTTTCTAGCTTATATATCATTATGAATGAATAATTACTGTTTTTGCCTGCCTACCTCAATTTCAATTATACAGACCTTATGGTTAAACTTACCAAATGCTGATATTTACTAGTAATTCTATTAAGGGGCTGTCAAAACTACCAACTCCTGAGAGCATAAGGATTACTTTTATGCCTCTCTAGTTGTGAATGAAAAAAAAAATGTGTAGAACAACTAACTCACTGACACTTTCATGTAATAATTTATCTTTATTTCCTGTTTCTTATTCTTTTAAACTGAAAAACTTTATTCAAAAACTAGGAAAAATGTATTTCAGATCTTTCTTTCTTTTTTTTTTTTAGCCCTCATCCTTAGGCATGCCAGATAGCCTCTATTTAATAAATCTTAAGGTTTTTCCCTTTAGCTCTAGTTTATACAAAATTTCTTAATTTATGAGGTATCCTTCATGTGATTTAAATTGAGCCTTTTGTAACAAAGTTTTAAAATAATAAATCACATCTTTATAGATAATATAACTACATTTATCTATAGTTATTTATATATTTAAGTGGTAACAGTTTATGTATACAAATAACATTTACATACTGTTTACTGTGTACCAGGCATTATTCTAAGCGCTTTACTTATGTAACTTCTTTAGAGTTGTTGTAAGGATTAAATCATTTAGACACTATTACTATCCATTTATTTAACAACAGATAAGAAAACAAGCACAGAAAGATTGAACAGTTTGCTCAAGGTCACACAGTTTGGGATTTGAACCAAACTCTCTGACCCCAGAGTTTGTGCTCTTAACTAATCTATACTAATAAAAGAGTAATATGCTAATTAGACCAGACATCTTCTGGATGACTATCCAGACGTCCTTCCTGACAAAGCCACCAGGCAAAGCTGCCCGCCAGTGTTCCTGGGCGCCAGCGCCAGCTGTTGGCTGCAGCCTAGAAGACGGAGAAGCTGCCTGCCTAATAGTCCTGGGCTGCAGCCAGCCGGAGAAGCCGCCTGCCCCATGGTTCCAGGCACCAGCGCCTGCTGCTGGCTGCGGCTGGGAGACGGAGAAGCCACCCGCCCCAAGTTCCCAGGCTGCAATCAGCTGGAAAAGCCGCCTGCCCTGTGGTCCCAGGCGTCAGTGCCTGTGGCTGGCTGTGACTGGCTGCGGCTGGCTGTAGCTGGGAAAGGGAGAAACCACCTGCCCCGAGGTCCGAGGCTGCAGCCAGCTGGAGAAACCAGCTGCCCATGGTCCCAGACACCAGCGCCTGTGGCCCAGGAGATAGGTTCCCTCTTCTCCCACTGCAGTCATTACTCCAATATTCCCCTTCTCTCTGCTGCCCTAACCCAACTCCACTTTTCATCTGAAGGATAGGGAACAGAGAGAGCAATGTTAAAAGCTTACAGTTTTAAGCAGGTAATGTTGGTACTTAAATGTAGAAATGGAAAACTAGAGTCCTTAAGGTAACAAAGGCTAGAAAGGGAGGGGACAGGGACAGGGCAAGATATATATCCATCAATCCATGTGGGGACTGAAAACTTTGCAGTGATGATAATCAGTGAAGATACGAATCAACTGAAATAGTTGACAGGGGCAATTCTTCCATCTTTGAAAATACCTATATCAAGTCTGTTTAAATAGATTTTCATCTGCGTAATATAACACATTCTGACAAGACCACCGCCACCAATGTGGCCAGTGTTGTGCTGGTAAATGTTTAACAACTGGCTCTCAAAGAAAACAAAACCCTGATTTATAGTATCACATTTAGAGTATGTATTACCTTTGGTTTTAATGTAATTTATTCACTTTTAAGATTACATAATTTAATTTTTAATAATGACCATGTTTAACAACCAGCTTTCAAAATTCCTGAAAATTTGTTAGCCAGTAAAAGCAGGTTCCAGCACAATACTGAGTGGAGTATAATGGTTACGGGGGATGGCTCATAGATCTGAAACAAAACTCAGCCACTTTCAGGTTTTACTGGTCAAGTTACCTGATCTCTCTATACCCCAGTGTTCCCATCTGTGTAATTATAGTACCTATTGTATAGAGTTGTTGCAAAGATAAAATGAGATCTGTGTATGACACAGCACAGTACCTAAAACAATAATTCACTCAATTTGTTACAAACTGTTACTACGTCGATATGTTGTTGACAAAATTACTCTACTCATGCTGAAAGAATGAAATTTTATTGATGAGAAAAATATCTTATTTTGCGATCTACGTGGAGAAAGTCAATTTTGCTTCCTAGGCAGTAGATGGTAATCTACTACTAGAAACTGAAAGGGGGAAAATGACCTCAATCAACATGATTGAGGCAGTGTATTTTTAGCTGGATCATAAAGCAGAGAGGATGCCATACATTCTGGGATACATCTGCAGTAAGAGGCTTCACCTCAGGTATTAATTCTGATCAACTAAGCATCAGACTTAAGATGAATGGTGAGGAGGATTCTGAGGCTGCTTCTAGACTTAGTAGGAATAGAACTTTAATACATAAGCAACAGTTACTTTGGTTAATATGGCGAGAAAAAACACATCATGATCTATACTAATAAAAAGGTAATATGCTAATTAGGCCAGACGTCTTCTGGATGACCATCCGCACGTCCTTCCTGACAAAGCTGGGCCCTGGGCGAAGCTTCCTGCCAGAGGTCCCGGGCACCAGCACCTGTGGCTGGCTGTGGCCTGGGAGACAGAGAAGCTGCCTGCCCTGTCGTCCCGGGCCACAGCCAGCCGGAGAAGCCACCCACCCTACGTTCCCAGGCACCTGCCCACCGTCTCCTGCAGCTGCAGCTGGCCCAGGTGGAGCCAGCCCAGGTCCTGGGTGCCTGTGGCTGGCCAGAGGGAGGGAAGCCCAGGTCCCGGGTGCCTGAGGCCGGCTGGAGGAGGGAATCCTGGGTCCCGGGTGTGGGACCAACGTTGTTAGGGGCAATCAAGCCAGCAGGGGAGCATTTAGGGACAATCAGGCTGGCAGGCAGAAGTGGTTAGGGGCAATCAGGCAGGCAGGCAGGCAAGCAGTTAGTAGCCAGTGGTCAGGGATTGTGAGAGGAATGTCCGACTGTGGGATCAGGCCTAAACCAGCAATCGGACATCCCCCAAGGGGTCCCAGATTGGAGAGGGTGCAGGCCAGGCTGAGGGACACCTTCCCTCCCCACTCCCACCACCCATGCATGAATTTCATGCACCGGGCCACTAGTCTATATATATAAAAGCCTAAGCGACTGTTAACGACTGAACAACCAAAACAACTGGTCAACCAGTCACTGTGATGCGCACTGACCACCAGGGGACAGACACTCAATGCAGGAGCTGCCCCCTGGTGGTCAGTGCACTCCCACAGCCAACTTCCCACAGCCCCTCCCCCTGGCAGGCCAACCTCCTGCGGCCCCTCCCCCCGGCCAGCCGGCCAACCTCCTGGGGTCCCTCCTCCCTGCCAGCCAGCTCCCCATAGACCTCGATCTCCAGGGCCAGGCCAACGGACTCCACCTGTGCACAGATTCGTGCACTGGGCCTCTATTGTACTATAATAAATTTGTACTTCGGCATACATATTTTTGAATATGTTTAAAACTAAAAAATACTGTTTTAAGCTGTCATCAAAGATTTGAGTGGCCTTTGCCTATAAAATATTACTTAAAAGAAAATTGAAGTGCTCTCTGGTCATTTTTTTCAAGGAATAGATAGGACAATAAAATATTTTGAAAGTACCTATTAGATTTCAGGTTTTGGTCCTACAAGTGTCTTGATTTTAAAACATTTTTCTTTCCATGGATAGTTAAGCTGTCTCTATTTTTACTTTTTATTTTTATTTTTTTGCCTTTTAACTGAAGAAAATTACGTAAATCTGATTTTTACAAATAAACATTTTCAGTAGTTACATGGTTACTCTAATAAAATAAAAATCTATTTATAAACTTTTAAAAACTAATTTTCTTTAAAAAATAAGTTCAAATTTTTGCATAAAGAATTTCCAACAAGCCTGCAAGAGGCAGGAGCAGGGTGAAGAGGGTCAATGGGAAAATAAATAAACTACCAAAGGGACATCTGTAATACTTTTAACAATAAAGATAAATTTTTAAAAAAGAATTTACAGCAAGATCATGTATGCCTTTTTGTGTAGTATGTCTGTTTCAACTAAATGCATCTTTCTTAAAATTAGTTGGTAAAAAAATAATAATTTTGATCATAATTGAATTTAAAAATTTTTTTCTAAACCCGCAAGCTTATAAACTCTTATTCAACTCTTTGAGATCTTAATTTTTGTATTATCTATATCTTTTGTTTTTATATAAAAATCTATTGATAGCTTTCTAGTTCAATATATAACCAATATTAAGCCTCTGAAAATTAATAGTCTGCTACTTATGAATTGTCCTCAAATACTAAGATGACTTTTGGTTTAGTTTTTTATAGCTTAGCTGTTTTTGTACCTCACCAACTTGGATGCTCAGCACATTACCGTCACATGGAATTGACTGTATTTTTATTTTAGGTACTTGCTACAACCAAGAGACAATGGAAACAAGTCATCTAAAACTGATGACCTGGGGTCTCTTCGATTGAATATATGTTATACAGAAGATTATGTGCTTCCTTCAGAGTACTATGGTCCTTTGAAAACTTTGCTGCTAAAATCACCAGATGTTCAGGTACTTTAAAAATTTGAAGTGTATGATTTAATACTAAAAAGCTATAGTATTTATGTAAATGAGGAGGAAAAGATTTCAGAGTGTCAAGTCTTATCTACACTAATAAAAAACAAACATGCAAATTGACCATACCTTCGTTATGCCTTAAGCCACTCTCACCAGCCAGTCAGAGCGACTATATGCAAATTAACACAACCAAGATGGCGGCTGGCAGGCACGGAGCTGGATCAAGCAGGAGGCTTGCAGGCCC